AAGAAAAGCCTCAAAGAAAGAAAAGTGTGTAGTAGTCTCACAAAGTGTAAGTTCTCCTTAAGCGTGTTAATAAAAGTCTTGTTGTTTCCCATATAAAGAGTCGTATTCAACAATCTGGTATCAGAGCAAGGTTTCTTGATAGTGAGAACGAGTGATTCTCGTTGTATCGTGAGTAGTTTGTGACTCTGCAAGTTTAGTATCGAAACTAGCTTGTTTGGTATTACCGAGGTACTGCCAACATGATGGGTGATCTCCAAGTCGTCGGAGGAATCAAGAAAGTCAACAACAACTACTACAAAACGTGGGAAACATGTATGAAGTCCTACTTACAAGGACAAGATCTATGGGAGGTCGTTGGTGGACGTGAAACTACGCCACCAGAGGAAGACGTTAATGGTGCTTTGCGCAAATGGAAAATCAAAGCAGAATAAACAATGTTTGCCTTGAAGACCACAATCGAAGAAGAGATGTTGGAGCATATTCGGGATGAGAACACCCTGAAAGAAGCTTGGGACATGTTTGTGATGCTTTTCTCAAAGAAGAATGATACAAGACTACAACTTTTGGAGAACGAGCTATTATCATTCTCACAACGTGACATGGCGATTGCTCAATATTTCCACAAGGTCAAGTCAATATGTCGGGAGATTACTGAACTAGATCAGCAATCCGTCATTGCAGAAGCTCGAATGAAGAGGATCATTATCCATGGACTGAGGCTGGAATATAGAAGCTTTGTTACTGCTGTACAAGGATGGCCTGTTCAGCCATCACTTGTAGAGTTTGAGAATTTGTTGGCCAGCCAAGAAGCTATGGCTAAGCAAATGGGAGGCATCACGCTGAAGAGTGAAGAAGAAGCACTCTACACAAGTAAAAATCGGAGGAATTTCAAGCCACCGTCTAAAGATGAATACAAAAATTCTGACAAAGGGAGGAGTCAGCCAAGAACCTCACAACCATGGAGATCTCAAAAGACCGACAATAAGAGTTCTCGGGGGAGGTGGTTCGAAGGCAACTGCAACAATTATGGAAAGTGGGGCCACATGTCCAAGGATTGTTGGTCAAAGAAAAAGTTTGTGGAAAGCAATGTAGTAACTGCCAAAAAGGAAGTAGAGGATGAATGGGATGCAGAGGCACTATGTGCTATAGAAGAGAATAAGACTAAAAGAGGAAGGCTAATGTTCGTGCGTGCCAGGGTAAATGGAGGATACACCAAGGCTTTAGTAGATACAGGTGCATCCCATAATTTCCTTGCTGAAGATGAAGCTAAAAAGTTGCGGATCAAATACACCAAAAATCCAGGCCGGTTGAAAGTCATCAACTCTTTATCCAAGCCTATCATTGGTGTTGCATATGGAGTACCTCTTAAGATAGCAGAATGGGAAGGCATCATAGACTTGACAGTGGTGCATATGGATGACTATCGTATGGTATTGGGAATAGATTTTCTAGAAAATGTACGACCATGGTCATTTGAGAGAGATGATACCATGCGTATCACCAAGGGTTCAATAATTCACATTGTACCCTTGAAGAGAAGTATGATTGGATCCCGAATGCTATCAACTATGAAACTCAACAAAGGTCTCAAGAAGAGCGAGACAAAGTTTATGACAACCTTGGAGGAGGAAGACGTTCATTGGAAGATGGATGCTCCGAAGGAGAATAATAACATGACATCACTAGAGTTGCATAAAAAGTCTCATCTTAGACGAAAAATTGGACATGTGATGGAGAAACTGGATAAGGCGAAAAAGAAGAAAAACACATTAATTCGTAAGAGCAAAGTAGAACTTCTCAACAGAGCAACATCTAAACGAGATGAGCAGATCAATAAGGGATCACGTCATAACATGTTAATATTGTGGGAATTTTCGAAGGCTTGTTAAAGGGACAACTCACATGCTTACAAGTTTCTCAAAGGGAGGCATAAGAAACTACACAAGACAGTTCAACAAAGTCAAGAACAATATTATGCTGCTAGAAAATGCAACAACGAATGTCGTTGTCAACTACGAAAACAATATATGAAGCAACGACTACAACAACTAAGAAAAAACCAAGCATGTGGAAGCGAAAAAGTTCTCAAGGAAGAAGTCAATACGCGACAGATCAAGACTGATAAACAAATAGCGGAATTATTCACCAAAGGGATGAGTAAAGGAAAAGGTGAAGGTTTTAGATGTCAGCTCAACATGATACGAAGAATGATGGCTAGTGCTGAGGGGGAGTGTTGGAGGTCATCACTAGCCTGATAGAATCATGTTATTGTCTAGAAGAAGTTAGCATGTTCTAGAATGATCTGGAAGATTCTAGAACATTATGGAATACTATGGAGAAGTCTAGAAGATGCCAGAAGATTCTAGAATACTCTAGAACGAGATGGAAGACCCTGGAAGGCTATGGAACATTCTAGAACACTATGGAAGACACAAGAATGTCTATACTTATCTAGGATATTATAGAACATTCGAGAAACATATAAAAGCTTGTAATAGATATAGAATATGGTAGATAGTTCTAGAATAGCCATGAATGTATGTAGATCTAGAAACTTCCTATAAGGAGGTGTAAACACCTATAAATAGGTGTGCAGCTCATATGCTCCAAATAATCCAACATCTAAGTATCCAAGAAAAGCCTCAAAGAAAGAAAAGTGTGTAGTAGTCTCACAAAGTGTAAATTCTCCTTAAGCGTCTTAATAAAAGTCATGTTGTTTCCCATATAAAGAGTCGTGTTCAACATAACGATGGAGTACGATGATGAAAAAGAAAAATCTAACCTTTGATAGCGAAAGAAAGAGAGAATTGTGGATGGTGCGCTGGTGGTGGCGATCGTCGATGGTGGCGATAAGTGATGGGTCAAAGGTTTATTTCACCTTTTGAATAAGAGAAATGAGGATCAGAAAGACCATAGGGCGTATTTGTGTATTTGACGGGGAGGGAGGGACTAGTTCCACGACAGCTGTAAGATGGGGTGAAATTCGTTCTTTGATCGGTTGAAGATGTTTCTTTTAAATTTTAAATTAAGCGAGTTAATAGGGAAGTCAAATGTAAAGATAAGACCAAATAGAGTAAACAAGGAAATCAATTATAACAAAGTCAAATTTACGGTGGAACATAATATTGACATGGATGCATTATTTAATTGTATTTTCAGCTTAAATATTTATACAATTTAAAATATAATATTATTATATTATAGTTTGTTGTACTTTAAGCTTAACTACTTGGACGTCTTAAATCTATTTTTAGAAAATAGTAAGGTTTGTATAACAATATATATATATATATATATATATATATATATATATATATATATATATTAATATATATATACTAGCCGTGTACCCGCGCCAAGGGTCGGGTGCGAATATTTTTTTCCGAAATTAGTTTCAAGAGACGATTATTTCTTTTGTGCAAATAATTACTACATCTAAACAATTATCAATAAAAGTCGTGCTAGTGGAAACGAAATCAATCAAAAATAAAAATGAAAAGTTGAGATAATTTACAAATGTATATGAACGCATGATTGATTGTGCATTATGAATCGAGCAAAACTTTTTTATACATCACACTTGATGTGTAAACTTCACTGTTGTTGAATTGTTTGTCATAATTCATTATTACTTTTGTATTGGCATGTGATATCCCTCTGAATAATGCCACATAAAGTTGGCCATGCGGGAATCTGAGAGAGATTTGGTTTGGTTAATTCATTTCGTTATAGTTAGGTGGAAACATATTTCCATCCCTAATTTTTTATTTAATAATTTGTTTTTATGTCAAAAAGATCTTAATGCTCGGTGGATATCATCTATGTAGGTACGTAAATTAGCAAAAGGTAATCAATGGATCTTTAAGCCGTGAAATATTTTTTTTCTTATCAAATAAGTTAATCAGAAATAAATGACTAAAATGAAAGGGTGTCCATTAGGAGCATATAATGGCAAATACTCACCTAAATTACATTGAATCGGTCATGGAACCAGAAGTGACAATTCCTAAAATGTTGCAACCAGCTTTACGACTATTTAAAAATTGTAACATTTAAGAAGTCGGCTAATATAATTCCAATACCATTGGGTTCCATATCTTACCGATTTCATCTTTATCTAACACTACAAAAATACTAACCTTTAGCGGCGACCAAAGTCGTCGCAGTTGAACATCTCTGTCGTCGCTAATGCGTCGCCGCAGTTGGTTCGTAACTAATACCCCATGTCGTCTCTAATATTGTGGTCGCTAATACACTGATGTTGTCTCAAATAGTGTCGTCCCTATTAATATTCCGGCCACCGGTATTAGTTTTTTTTCCGGCGATACTCTCCGGAGGCCATGTCGTCACAATTGACAGTAGTCGTCTCTAAAGGCGTCGCTGCTAATGTTTTTTTTTTTTTTTTTTTTTTTAAGAAAAACTTATTTTTGATAATATTAATTTATATATATTATAAAATGCTGTTTTGATAAAAATACATATATAAATACATACGATATTATATAAAAAATCAAAAATACCATATTCCATTAACTATTTTACAAACAAACATCAAACATACCATATCTAATAAATCTCAAACAAACGCTTAATATATATCATACATAAACTATTTTCCAAATCAAAAGTAACATCCTCCATATCATAAAACAAGAAATACTAGTTGTCTTCGTCTTCCCCACCGTCTTCCCCACCGTCCTCCCCATCGTTGTTTTCCTCGTTGACTTGGTTTTTAAACGAGCGAATAATGTCTCCAATGGCCGTCACAAATGCCGGGTTTTGAAGAAAAGCGTTCACATCAACATCCTACAATTAAGTCACAAACAAATAAGTTATGAACAATTCAACAAACCATCAAAGCACCAAATCAATTAAGTCTATAACAATTTAAGAAACTACCGAGTTACCAAAAGTTACTACAAATACATTAAGTTCTTAACAATATAACAAAGCAACCAATTTTTTTAAGAATTTAACAAGTACCTGCGTTGGTTGCGATGCTTGTGATTGTGGCTGCCATTGGGATGAAGCACTTGTACCCGCAGTTGAAGAAGCTTTAGGCCCAATACCTCTCACATGCCCCCTTCGAGTACCCAACACCTTCTCAAATATTGCGATCCAATCAATGGTGTCTGGATCACCACCAGAGTCGGCTATGTGATGAGTCTGTAGAGCAACCTCAGCAACTAAGGCATTCTGTATTTCACAAAGATTGTTAATATACGTTAAAACTAACAAAAAAAATTAACAATCTACTTCATTTTTAAGTAATAATAACTTACATATTGCTCTTCAACCAATGGATCAACAAATTCCCCTCTTTTATTTACATGCGCACGATGAAATACTTCAAGTCTATTCAAATTCTGTTTAACATTACAAAATATGTTATAGTTGAATAAACATTAAAAAATATGTTATAACTGAATAAACATTATTGTAACTTACTTTTTTGAAACAAGCACTACCGTAGCTGCACGTCCCTCCACGATTCTTCACTACTTGCTTCTTCCGGCATTCTTTGTTTCCAGCGGATCGTTTTTGATGTTTTTCTGTTAAGAAATGGTCAATAGCAGCATTCCAACGCTGCTGATCCATACCCCTAGGGGCTTGAGCCCTTGCTGCCTCCACATTCCCTGCAAAATCATCAAAACGGTTTTTTGCAATATTTTTGCGGCCTCTATACGACGCACATATCCCATTATTCAGTGATGCCCAATAAGTTGAAGCCATGGGATGATTTGTAATCGCGTCAAAATCAAACCATCTCTACAAAAAAATAGATAAATTAAAAATAAATCAAAATTAAAAATATTAAATATATAACTTTATAAATAATTTACCGAAAGATACTGCAACATTCCAACCCTTTCGGCTTCAGAAACCTCTGTCCATGTGTCTTTATCAAAACCGATGTCCCGCCACATATAGCTCCCAACCTCCCGAATAAAACATTCATACACCTCCCCAATCGGCATGTTAGTATTTACGTCAAATACTATCTTAAGAGGCCGTTCACCGTTAGCTTTATAGAGTTTGTGCATTTTTTTATTTACCGCCATGCCTCTTCGTTTCGGAAGCACCACTGCATAAAAAAAATATTAGTCAGAATAATTTTTTATATACATACAATGTGAAATACATTGAATTAGAATAGATTTTAATTACCATCGTTTTGGTGATCACCAAAACCCCCACCGAACGGATGTGGTGGCTCGTCACCACCGTCGCCTCCATGACCCATCACAGCAGCCATGAGATGGAGCAATGCAATCCAAAAAAATGACATCCTGAAAAATTATAACACAATATGAATATATATATATATATATATATATATATATATATATATATATATATATATGACTACAACAAATACAAACCTTATTTTACTAATTAAATGTAAAAAGATTTTTTAATCATTCTCGCCCCCAGACACTTCAGTGTCTGCCGATACATCACTATCATAATCAGAATCTTCCTCATCATAATCAGTCTCGCAATCAGACACATTATTGATGATACTCGTTGGTGGGTCAACTTCAATATCATCTTCAATCGATTGAGAATTTTGAAAGTACTGGCTAAAGTCAATTGAGAGAGTGAAATTGGAAGAAGCATTACTAAGAACGACATCGGTTGAATCATTGTCGATATTTTCAATGGGATCATGATCAACATCATTCATCGGTAGATCCCAAATTCTTCTATGATTAACATTTTCAACAACCCACCGTTGGGTGTCATTTTCGTCACTTGGAGAAGGTTCTTGGATGTAAAATACTTGCTTGGCCTGCGTAGCAAATATGAGTTGATCTTCGCTGCTCAATTCGCGTTGTGGGTCGATAGTGGTGAAATTATTATCAGATTTAACTCCTGCAGTATCGAACCACTTGCAACGAAAAAGTACGGTGGAATATTTATGTGGATAATGCAACTCGATAATCTCTTCTAGCTGACCATAATATTTCTGCTTATGCTCTCCCTCAGTTAGAACCCCCGAGTTTTGTGTTGATCGTTGAGCGTCACGCATAAGTACCATATACCTAACACCATTCACTATGCAAGCGGTGTAAGTAAAGGCATGCGCATGCACACCGATTGAAAGAGTTGATAACTCCTTATTAAACTCTAGAGATTTTTGTTTTTGCATATCATAGACCTTATGAAGAAACCATTTAGGAAATTCGATTTTTTCATCACTTTCAGGATGTAATGATTTGAATTCACTACATTGATGAAAAAATATATATATATTTAGTAAAAATGTGAAATTAAAAAAAGACAATGAATTAAAAGATAAGAACACTTACGCAATATACTTTCTGACTTCCTCACAATTATCAAGCACAAACCAATGTAGACGTTTTCTCTCCTCTAGACTGAGATTTTTCATTTTCCTTCCGCTAGTTGGTCGACACTTAGACTGAAACACCCATAGCTTTGTTTCTTCTATGATAACATCCTCGTTTCTTTCAAGGCGATTGAATTGAGTCTCAACATCTTCAAGGTACATCGAACAAAATGATAATGCCTCTTCAGCGACATAACCCTCAGCTATAGAACCTTCCGGCCTCGCCTTGTTTCTGACATAGTTTTTTAGTTTTTTCATATACCTTTCAAAGGGATACATCCATCTCATACATACTGGGCCTCCAGAAATTGCTTCATCAGGTAAATGCAAAACTAAATGAACCATAATGTCAAAAAACGCAGGAGGATAGATCACTTCTAATTTGCACAATATTTTAATAATGGCTGGTTTCGCTTCTTTCATATCCTTCACCGACAATGTGCTTGAGCAAAGTTGCTTAAAAAACATACAAAGCTCTATTATTGGTGTATAAACACCTTTCCCCAAAAGACCTTTAACTCCAATGGGTAACAAACGTTGCATAAGAATGTGATAATCATGAGATTTCAACCCAATAATGTTAGTATTGGTTTCATTCACTTTCTTACTGATGTTAGATCCAAACCCATCTGGCAGTTTCACATTTCTTATAAACTTACAAAAACGAATGCGGTCAGCTTTCGTGAACGAGTAAGGTGGATGGGGTTTATGGAACTTGTTTCCATTCTTTTTCAACCATAGATTTTTCCGAATGTTCAGTTTTGTCAAGTCCGCCCGAGCATTTGATGTGTCTTTAGACTTATCATTCATCAGAGAAGTACCCACAAGACTCTCACCGACATTTTTTTCAACATGCATAAGATCGAAGTTGTGCTTCAGCTCCAGAGAAGACCAATACTCAAGTTCAAAGAATATGCTCTTTTTGGACCAATTCAACTCGAAATCCTCACGATCTCTCTTAATACCAGCTCGTTGAGCAGCTACTTTACCCGGTGGACGAAACAATAGACGAGCGTGTTGCGCTTGTATTTCTTCCTCACTAAACTTTCTTGGAGGACCTCTTGTCTCATGTTTGCCATTATAGTCCAAACTTTTTCTCCATGGATGGTCAGCATCTAAGAACCGGCGATGACCAATATATACGACTTTATTTGATACTCGGTATGACGGGGTGTCTTCGTTGCAAGTCGGACAAGCTTTGTACCCTTGTCCGCTCCAACCGGATAAACTACTACGAGCAGGAAAGTCATTTATTGTCCATAACAACATCGCTTTCAAATTGAAGAATGTATCTGTCGCTGCATCTTTAGTACGTACTCCAAAACTCCATAATTGCTTCAACTCATCCACCAACGGCCTAAGGAACACATCCAAGTCCTTCCCGGGTGCTTTGGGGCCGGGAATCAACAAGGTCAACATGAAAGATGACTATTTCATGCATAGCCATGGTGGAAGATTGTAAGTGGTGAGTATGACAGGCCACGTGCTGTGAGGATTACACATGTTACCAAACGGATTAAAACCATCAGCAGCAAGCCCTAAGCATACGTTTCGGGGTTCCCTCGAGAAGTCAGGATACTTCATATCAAATTTTTTCCATGAAGTACCATCAACGGGATGAATCATCGTACCATCTTTGGATTGTCCGGTACTATGCCAAATCATATCTTTAGCTGTGTGTCTTGAACAGTACAAACGTTGTAGTCTGGGGGTCACAGGAAAGTATCGTAAAACCTTATGAGCCACCTTCTTACCCTTTGTATTTTCATCAACCCACCGACTCTCATTACAAACTGGACATTTTTGCAACAACGCGTGCTCTTTCCAGAAAAGAAAGCAGTCATTTTTACATACGTGTATTGACTCATAACCTAAGCCGATCTTTTTAAGTGTCTTTTTTGCTTCGTAATGTGATGGGGGGACCCTGTTTCCTTCAGGAAATGCAGTTTGCAACAACTCAAGAAGCTGATCGAATGAACTATCAGTCCATTTGTTGATCACCTTGATAAGCATCAGCTTTGCTAAAAAGTCAAGGGACGAAAACGAACATCCAGGATATAATTTGAATTGGACTTCCTCTAACAGCTTTTGAAATCCAATATCAACACCTCTATCGTCTGTATCTAGGTTCCCTTCGTTGCAGTTGCTATCATTTTCAATCACACCTCCCATAACATCATCAATAACATCAGCCATCTCGTTACTACGCGGTATGTCTTCGACAACCGGGTGAGTTGTATTTTCGCCGTGATACTTCCATATAATATAATGTGGACTAAAACCATGTTGAAGTATATGGAATTTCATTATGGCTAGTAGTATAAATTTATTGACATTGCATTTGTTACACGGGCATCTAATTTGACCTTTGTTATCGACATGTGGTTTGGACCTCTCGAGAAAAGATTCAAGTCCTTGTTGGAACAAGGTAGAGTTACGGTTTTCAATAGTAGTCCACGTTTTATCAATAGACATGTTGCAACTGAAACAAAAGTTAAGTTTTAGTGTTTACTCTACAAGAAGTAAAACTTGGATTGAATATTTATAACAACCGAATATTTCTTAAATTATTTTTTTTATTATAGCATGATACTTTAAACGATAGTATATATATTTGTTATTTATATTATCGTTTTTTTTTTCATAACTTATAGATTTAGCGTAGCGTTTTAACTTTTAATTTTTTTTATTATTAAATTTTACTGTAAATGATATTATATATTTGTTATTTATTTAATTAGTTTATTCTGATTTATTATTATTCTTCTTCTTTTTCTTTTTAAAACCTTTTTGACCAATTTTGATTTATCAACTTATTTTAGTTTAGTTTTTATTTTTCTATTTTGATTAATTATAACTTAGTAGATTTAACATAACGTTTTAACTTTTAATTTTTTTTATTATTAAATTTTACTTTAAATGATATTATATATCTGTTATTTATTTAATTAGTTTATTATGGTTTATTATTATTCTTCTTCTTTTTCTTTTTAAAACCTTTTTAATCAATTTTGATTTATCAACTTATTTTTGTTTTTAGTCTTCTATTTTGATTAATTATAACTTAGCAGATTTAGCATACGTTTTAATTTTTTTTTTTTATTAAATTTTACTTTAAATGATATTATATATTTATTATTTATTTAATAAGTTTATTATGGTTTTTTTTTTTCTTTTAAGAACCTTTTTTTACAATGTTTCTTCATTAACTTATAGAAAAAATTATCTATTATGATGTATTCATTTTATTCTTTTAATATACAATAAAATATATTTCTAATAATCATATGAATATTCTTAAATTTTACATACAAATTCATGATGAACATACAATAGTTTCACAAATATACAAATTCATGATGAACATACAATATTCTTAAATTTTACATACAAAATATATCAATTTCACATATAAATTTATCAAACTCATACATGATCAACAAGTATATATATATATATATATATATATATATATATATATATATAACCTACTCAATTTATACAAAACATATCAAATTAATCAACTAAACACACATTCAACCAATTGAAAAAAAAGATCAAATTCACAGTTCTAGTTCTAGGTTCATAAACAATTTTCTAGTTCTAGGTTCATAAACAATTTCACAGTTCTAGGTTCATAAACAATTTTACAGTTTACATCAAATTATACTAATCAAACTAACCTGTCTGCCAGCAAAATGAAAGCTAGAACAAATTTTGAGTGGTGAAGCTGGTGAACCTGGAACGAAGAACAAAAAAAAAAAAAAAAAAAAAGAAATCAACTCAAATAAGAATCGGTGGTGTTAATTGGAGTACAATGGCCGGAGATATGAGCAAGAACACTAACCTCGCCGGAGAAATGAACACGAAATCGAAGCTCCCGTCGAAATTGGAGGACACTC